ATTACTATTACTACTACTACTTGTGTTACTCGGAGCAGAGCCGCAATCAAAGGGAGCTTGCAGCTCGGAGGGGTTGCAGCTATTACTACTACTACTACTACTACTACTACTACTACTACTACCACCACTGCTACTCCTGCTCCTGCTGCTGCTGCTGCTACTACCACTACTCTACTACTACTACTACTACTACTACTACTACTACTACTACGACTACTACTACTGCTGCTGCTACTACTACTACTACTACTACTACTTCTGCTGCTGCTCTACTACTGCTGCTGCTACTGCTGCTGCTGCTAATACGACGACGACTACAACAACAACAACAACAACAACAACTACTACTACTACTACTGCTACCACTACCACCACTACTCCTCCCGCTCCCGCTGCTCCTGGTGCTGCTTCTTCTTCTGCCACTGATGCGACTGCTACTAGTACTACCGCAAGCACTACCACTGCAAGACCGCTGCTGCGGGCACTCCTGCTTCTCCTACTAACACTACTACGGCGACGATAATTAATACTGACGACTACTACCACTACCATCACTTCCATTGCTACCACTAGTACCAGTACTGCAGCTACTAAACAACGACGACGACTGCTACATCACTACTCCTCCTCCTCTTCCTCCGCCTCCACCTCCACGTCCTGCTCCTGCTCCTGCTGCTGCTGCTGTTGCTGCTAGCACAAGTACTACTGCTACAAGTACCACTGTCACAACAGGCACTATACCAATTACTGACACTACAGGTGCTACTGGCAGAGCACGTGACCCATGACTCGTGGTTACCTCAACACTGCTACTCTGAATGGAGTTTGGCACCACCCTATGCCGCACCGGAATTCTTGCAGCTGCGCGCTGTTTTAAAACATCCTCCACATGCTATGTCGGTAAGTTTTGACTCGGTCTGCAGGCTCCCCAACATTGCACAAATAAGGGGAAACACCATGTCTGTACGTGAACGGTGAAACTTCTTGTATGGCACACTCACACGGCTCGTTTGACCACACGAATTCATGGTCATGCCGCGCATCGGCGAAGGCAGATGCAGCATTTTCAGTGAGCTCGATTGTCGCGAAACGGCCCACGCCAGTCCGCCTATCATCTGCCCACAGGCGACTGGCAGCACGATCAGAAGTCTGTGACCTGAGGTCTCTAGCTTCAGGCCGAAGATTGGATCTGCAGAAGTAACAACAGTTCAGGTCAGGGATCAGCGTTGAGCGTGCATACAGATGTTGAGTCAGACTGACTTGTAAGCCGGGCCGCACGTCCTTTATGCGCCCAGTCCCCGAAGGTGGTTGGCTCGGGGCCGTTGTAGCGGAAACCCACCTCCACGCCAGAAGGCTCAGGGCAATCATGGAAGACGACTTAAGGCTCTGCCTTCCCTCGAACAGCACGTTGAGGGCACAGTACAGAAAGCAATACAGTGCAGTGATGAAACAATCACGAAACATGTCCGTGGCTTGACAGGAGACGACTGTCCCTGCAATTCATTGATTGTGCTTCTGATGGAGATGAACCAGGTGTCGAACTTTATTGATGCGAGTCAGTAGACACACAAGGACTGTACTAATTCTTGGGGGCGAAACTTCTCGTCCCTACTGCAAGATTTGCTTACCCTTCAACTTCGCATAAGGCCAGTGTGAAGGAATCCTCTTTGGAAATTGATGCAGAAACGGTCGATGGTGCGGGTCGCCTCCTCCATTCCGACTTCCAATCCCTCGACCTCTGCCTCCTCGGCCTGTAGAGGATCACCCGCCATTGGCATGGGTTCGGAGGACACCACATACACAACGCCGCTTCAAGGAGACACGCGGTGCATCTTCTGCATCGAAAGCTGGGTGACCAGCGAGGGCCATCCCCTCCTCGACAAGGGAGCATGCACAGCTGAACGAAAGAGGGAGGTAATTTACAGGCTCCTACTCCGCTTCTTCTGAGATCCGGCAACGGGATCCTCGTTTTCTTGCAATGACCAGCATTATAACAGCACCAGTCTGTCAGTCTCCTCTTCCTCGTCGCTATCGTCGTCAGGCGTCGCATCCTTCTCGTATGTCTTGTAAGGCACACGCCTGCAGGGAAAGCGAGTTGCTCAAAAAGGTCCCTTGCCGTCTCACACCGTGCATCCAACCCAGGGGTCTGCTCTGGCTCTCAGGGACACTCGGACAGCCTCGGTGACCATTGCTCGGGCGGCACCGTCACACTTCTTTGGAGGTCCTTTGGCGGCTTTGGTGCGCTCTTTCTTTCTGCAAGTAGCAGGGTAAAATAAAGGCGTTCAGCTTTCTCAGCAGAAAACAAGCCTAGCTTCCGTGCCACGAAGCTTGCAACTGCTAAGTCTGTCCAACAGCCTGTACTGAGCATTCGTGGCGTCCTGCTGGTGGTAGGCCTCTTCCAATTTCTGAGCATTCGGAAAGAGCACCTGCAATTTGTTGGGCACCCTCCTCCCCGCTGCTTCTCTAAAGGACTCTTCTACAGCTGAATTTCGAGAAGGTTGTTTTCTGGGTAGAGACGGGATTCAGTGAATGGGCCATGCCAGTGTAATCTCTCAACAAGCAACAAGCTGGAGAAACCTTAGCTAAACCCGGCATAGTAGAACACAACTCTGCTGAACAGGAAACAAGCAGAAGCTGAATGGTAGGGCCTGGCGCTGTGCACTCACGGTGTCCTCCATGGAGTCCCTGACTTTTCCGGTAGGGTGTAGGCGGTGTAGGGCTCAGGAATTTAGGGTGCGGGGGAGTAGATTTCAGGCCAGACTCCGTGGTAATTAACGGGGTGCAGCCCGGAATTACAAGCAAAACTTGCAAGGCCCACCAAAGACAAACCGCTGGAACAGCACAAAAGAAGTGGTACGCATGCTCACCACATGATGAGTATTTCGGAAGTTGCAGTCGCATCGGTCGCGTCAGCACATGCGCATTTGGGATGTGGTGCCCCGCCTCTCTGCAGTCGCTGCCTCCAGTCGTTGGTGCGGCGTGTGAAAAAGCAGAACGCATGCAGACTACAACATCTCAGTGTCGTGCTGCCAAGTATTCATGGGCATTGGATTCACTAGATCGAATTTCAGCATTGAAGAAGATCTTGCATCAGGTGCCCAAGAACTGTGTCAAGTCCGTCTAGGGGACCCATCCGTCCTCAGAGCTCGCATACCTCGGGCGCCATCGAAATGGAGCCAGCGCTGCCCTCAGGGCGATTGCGTCGACTCCAGGGCGCAAACAAAAAAGCCTATGAGCCACGCCTCTGCCGCATGGCAGGGATGGCGGGGGCGAAGAGAGCACAGTGCCCTCAGTCCAGACAAGCACCGACAGCGATTTGGAGCTCCAAGTTCTGCACGCCTTGTAAGGTCTTGAAATTTCGCCGGTTGCCAAGACGGCAAAGAATCAGACGAATGTCTCATGAAGTCTCACTTCACACTGGCAAAAACATCTTGTTATCACAAGTTCTACTGCGGTTAGCGGCTACCTAGACACCAAGATCTCGTGTGTTGAGGCTCATGGCAACCTTCCCGTTTTTTCGGCGCTTCCTACTGCTGCCGAGGATCTCATGCAGGGCATGGCAGCCCTGAGAGCCATCTGCTCAGGCTCTCCGCGAAAAGCTAGAATAGACACTGAACTTTGGAAAAAAGCTGCGGCACAAGCCGAAAACTTGGCTGCACGAGTCCAGGCATTCGCCCACCACCGGAAGCCAGATGTTGACAGTTATAGGCTTCGCGAGGATGCATGTAGTAGAGTGTTTCAGAGGATGTCTAAAGAGTCTTAAACCGGACACGGCCCTCGCCCCAAAGATTTCAGCTCCAAGAAAATTTGAGGGCTTGTGATTTTTCACCGGGCCTGGGACACGGATAAAACTCCTGGCGGTCCTAGCGTCCAGCGCCGGCATCTCCTGCATTCTTTTTCTGCGAGGCTCTCTGGTCTCCAAGCTTCCAGCCTCCAACTCAGCCTGCTTGGCCTTCTTCACGGGTGTCAAGCTGGGTCAGCTAAGCCTGCGCGTTGACGGCAGCCTGAGATGCAGACTTAAGGAAGCAGGGCTTGGAGACGTTCTGCTGGTTAGGTCTTTCTGCTTGCATTCACAATCTCCCGGCTGCTTAACAAAAGCTCACATCGCTGCGTTTTGCATTTGTCCATGCTGGTGTTGGTTTGAGCAGGCCGTGAAACCTAAGACGCCTATGCCTACTTTCGACCAAAGAGCAGCATTGTTGGGCTCGCAGATTCAGTTGACATCGGAGCATGAATGAGAACCCGACCTTTTGAACCATGCCTGCCCAGGAGCACACCGAACTTGGCCTCTACTGGGTGTCGAGCGCAGGATACGGTGGTATGATGCTCCTCATGGCCTTGATCTGCAGCAGTTGCTGGTGGCTGCTCTTGCGGCTGAGTTTACTCCTCCTGCTTTCAACCGCTGCGGGTGACCACCGACATGCAGTGCACGGAAGGTCTTGCACAACAGCTACTCTTCAATGGCCCTTCTCCTTCAACGATGGTCGTGACATCCAAGCTCGTCTCAACGACCGGAACAGTAGTATCGCAGCCAGTGTAATCAGCAATGCATCCGAGAACTCCACCTGGCCAGTGCATCACGCATGAAAGGGCTGCAGATCTGGGAGCTGCTAAGAGGATCGTCTGTGAGACCGACCCAGACGAGTTTTGTGGGTCGCATGAGCAGACTCTTGTGTGGAATCGTGATGACTATTGCAGTCTACATCTCCAAGAATCAACAGGGCTGTCCGTCGCATAAACCACGTCAAGCCATGAGTCCATTAGGCTCCAGCTCGGCCCACGCTATGCCGCAGAGACACTCAGCAAAGGATTTTGCAGAGTGTGATTGTGCGTGTTTTGGCATGCCAGAGTTCGGAACTTGTCGGATTATTATTATCCAAGGCCAGGGCCTTCAGAACGTGCATCTCGGCACTGCTGCTCTCTTCCGCCATGGCCCCTAAATCCTGAAGCCTGCCCAAGAAAAGCCTGCCCCCGAAGCAAAGGGCCTACACACGAAATGCATTGGCCTGGCCGAACAAGTCCTTATTGAAGTTATATTATACATGCAAGCCAGCTGACGTGATACTTGACGAGCAGGGCTTTGTGGAGTTCTGGGGCATGCGGTTCTTTGGGCGCGATCTGTTGCTTATTATAGGCTTGAGATGTGGTGGCTGATTTCGCGGGCCGCAGGGCTGAGTCTGTCGGTGGCAACTTTCGGGCGCGGGTCCCTCTCTGCGGATCCAGCTGGTTGAGAAGATCATGCACGCAATCAATGCATCAAGACGCCTCTCCGAACCACCTGCGTTGCCTTGCACCAGCCGGTACTAGGGCAAGTCCACACCTCTACAGATCAGAGACCTGATTGAAGATTCAACTGGAGAGCTCACCAAGCGGCACAGTGAACAACTCATTTTGCGGCGGGAGCTTTGCTCTGTCCGTCATACCTACGCGGATGGCGGCTATGTACAGGCTTTATCTTTCTATATCGAAACCGATACTCCAGAAATGGAGCTCCAACTTCTCCTAAATCCACTTCGAGAGGTGACTAAGAGAAGCCTGGAAGGCATTGTTGAAGCTCCATGCTGGGATTCAGGGCTGTGTGAGTTCTCGAGGCATCTAGAGCGCGCGTCCGATTAGAACGGTAGAAGATGCTCCGAAGTCCGAAGTCAGTTAAGTCTCGAAGTTGGAAGATGTTCGAAGACCTCTCTTAGTCTATGGCTTCCGGCTCACACTACTTTCGAGAAGGAGGCCTCTGCTCGGCTCACCAGCATCAGCGCGGTCTGTCGGGAAGCAGGACTCACAATTTGCGGCTTTCTACAGAAACCCTAAACAGAAATCAAGAAGCCCGGCCATCCTGCAGCAATTGCTACACCAGCTCTGGTGGCCTTCTTCTCATAGTAGGCTGCTTCGTTCACGAAGAGGGCAAAAACAGACTCATACTTCTCCGGCACCTGTCCGACATATGCCTTTCATTCGCCCTGCGTGCGCCTAGAACGGTACTTGTACATCCCAGGCTCCGGCGCTGGAGAGACTGCCGCTATTGACATGACTTTAGCTCTCTGCCATCTTCCGAGTCTTCCGAAGCGCTGATCGGCTCTCCAGACCCAGAGACTCCAATACCCCTTAATTAAGGAATATTCTTTAAATCATATTCGGGATCCTACTATAATTTAAGGTATATTCCTTAATTAAGGGGTATTGGAGTCTCTGGGGAGCCATCTAATAGGGCCATCTGAAGCCTAGCGCGAAGCCAGCAACTGCTTCCCTGGCTTTTCCTGGGCCCGGCCTTCCGCTCCTTTCGATCAAACGTTTGCACATCACCGTCGAAGGTCATGAACAGAGGGTCACCTCGCCAAATCACAGTACGTAGCAGGCCAGCTGAGCCTAGCGACCGTAAGTCGATGCTTTGTTTGTGTTGCGGCTTCGTTGCTGGATTTCCGAATGGGCGTCGTGTGCCTTAAGAACAGATCCTTCCCTTGGCGGCTTGAATGCCCTGCCCCATTCAGGGGATGGGGGAGTACACCGTTCCACCAGTGACGTGGCTGACCGAGCTTTGCAAAACAGAGGTGCTTCGTAAACTAGCTAGTTCGTAAACTAATAGTGCGAATGCCTGTGGTACGGGCAGCGGTAACATTAGTCCGCACTAGCAGTAGCAGTACTGGCAATGCAGTCATGGTCATCGTAGTCGCGGTCGTCGTCGTGATAGTAGCAGTAGCACTAGCAGCAGCAGTAGCGGTAGCAGCAGCAGTAGGAGGAGCAGGATGGACTAGGAGGAGTGTTGTAGCAGTAGCAGGAGCAG